ATACCCCTGGGTGGCATGGACTTGTGAAAACACACGGCTCCAGCGCAGGACCACCATGTTAGATACCCCTCCTGGGTGGCCTGAACATGTTGAAACACGTGGTTCCAGTTCGGGACCACCATGTTAGATACACCCCTGGGTGGGCTGGACACGTGAAAACATATGGTTCCAGCTCGGGACCGCCACGTTAGATACCCCTCTGATGGCCTGCACACGTAATTACGCTGCGCCCGCGCTGGCAGGGCCACGATCCCTCGTAAATTACCTGCGCCCGCGCTCCCATGGCCACGATCCCTCATAAATTACGCTGCGCCCGCGCTCCCAGGGCCGCGATCCCTTGTAAATTACACTGCGTCCGCGCTCCCAGGGCTACGATCCCTTGCAAATTACACTACACCCGCGCTCCCAGGGCCACGATCCCTTGTAAATTACGCTACGTCAGCGCTCCCAGGGCCACGATCCCTCGTAAGGGCTCCTGGGCCCTCCTGGGTCTTCCTTGGACCTCTTGGGCCCTCCTGGGCTCTCCTGGAGCCTCCTGGAGCTTCTCCTGGGCCCTCCGTGGGCCCCCTGGTGCCTCTTGGAGCCTCCTGGGTCCTCCTGGGCCCTCCTGGGCTCTCCTGGGCCCTCCTGGGCTCTCCTGGGCTCTCCTGGAGCCTCCTGGGCCCTCCTGGGCGAAGTCAAGGTCCGAAAACACATGGGACTTGCCACATTTCTGAAATTCGGTGCCACCCCTCACGCAGGTCGGCGGGGTCAGGATCCGAAAACACATGGGACTTGCCACATTGCTGGAATTCCGTGCCACCCCTCACGCAGATCGGCGGGGTCAGGGTTCAAAAACACATGGGATTTGCAAGATTTCTGGAATTCCGCGCCACCCCTCACGCAGATCGGCGGGGTGAGGGTCCAAAAACATAAGGGATTTGACACATTTCTGGCATTCCGTGCCACACCTCACGCAGATCGGCGGGGTCAGGGTCAAAAAACACATGGGATTTCTGCTATTTCCGAACTTATGCAACTTCAAGAATCCAAAACTCTGTTCCCAGCGCCGTTCCAGAGGCCGCGGTACCTCGTTATTTATCGAGCGAACGCGTTTACCTTGTTTTTTATCGTTTAAAGTCGATGTCGGAAAAAAGTAGACTTCACCTGTGAAATCCGCCGATCCGGCGTGTGAGTTTCAAGGAGTCTCAGCTACAGCCTCGAGGCTGAGCCTCAGCCTCTGGGGGGGTTGCCGGGGTGGCTCTGCCGGGGAAGGGGGGGTGGGGGGGGGGGGTGCGAGTTTCCGGCGGATGCGTTTTTTGACACCCCTCACAAGGATCGTGGCCTCCGAGGGGGTTCCGAACTCGAGTACCACCCCTCCCGCACCAAGAGGCTCCGAGGAGGCCTCCAAGAGGCCCCAAGGGGCGCAGAAGAGGCCCCCAAGAAGCCCCAAGAGGCTCCCAAGAGACCCCCAAGAGGCCCTCTAGTGGCCCCAAGAGGCCCAAGAGGCCCCCAAGAAGCCCCAAGAGGCGCCCAAGAGGCCCCCAGAAGTCCCAGCCAACCACGAGATCCCAACCAGCATCCATGAGGCCTCTGACCCACCACCCACGCACGGTGGCGGGATAGGCCGACGGCCACTGGATCCGCCGCCCCCTGCTTGCAGGGGTGCACGGCGTGCTGGATGATTCAGGTTTTGGTTTTGGTTCTTTTTCTAAAAGAACTCCCCAGTGGGCTTCGGCCCGTCCCGCCGGCCACCCGCGCGTTTCCCAAAATGCGTCTGTCAATGCCCAAAAACGGCCGTTTCGCTCGGGACATCCTCAAAAAATCGCGAAGATGGCCCAAGATGGCCTCCAAGTCCGCCCGAGATGGTCCAAGACGGCCTCCAAAACGGCCCAAGAGAGTCCAAGACGGCCCAAGACGGCCCAAGAGGCCCCCCAGAGGCCTCCCAGACGGCCCAAGAGGCCTCCAAGAGGTCCTCCAGGAGAGTCCGAAGAGGCCAAAATCATTGATTTTTCCTTGGTTTTTGAAGGATTTTGGCATTTGCGCCTTTTCGGCTCTCCGACGGCTCAAGACGGCCCAAGAAGCCCCCAAGATCGCCCAAGAGGCCCCCAAGAGAGCCCCATGATGGCCCAAGTGGCCTCCAAGATGGCCCCTAGAGGGCCCCAAGAGGGCCCAAGAGGCCTCCAACACGCCCAAGATGGCCTCCCAGACGCCCAAGATGGCCTCCAAGACGGCCCTGGAGCATTCCAAGCGGGCCCCAAGTCGGCCCATAGAGGCCCCCCAAACGGCTTCCGACGGCTTCAGACGTGCCAGGAACCCACCAAGATGGCCGAAGTTGGCTCGAAGCTGGCCCGAGACGGCCCAAAAAGCCCCAAAGATCGCCCAAAGCTTGCCCAAGAGGCCTCCAAGACGGCCAAGATGACCTTCAAGATGCCCACGTGTTCCCCGAAGGCTTTCCAAACCGATTCGGGGAACACGTGGTCCGATAGCTTGGCAGGTCTGGCCTCAACGTTCGGCCACATAGGCGCTTCCAAAAAGGCAGGGGGCGGCGGTGATTCGCCGTAGGCGTCTTCGATAAATGCTGAGTGAGAGGAGTGGAGGGAAAAAGAGAGGAGGGACGAGGGCGAAGAAGGATCACATCAGTCGGAGCGCCCCGGATCGGCGGCACTGGCCGAAGGCCACTACAATATCGAGGTTTCCTTAAAGGCCGTAAAATTCCAAGAGCACGATCTGCGTGAGGGGTGGCGAAAAATGGCCTTCGTCCTCACAATTGAAATCCGCGCTCCCTTCGACCTCGTAATTTATCGCACAAGAATTCCGCCGGCCCCCTTCAAGTAAAAACCGGGGGTAAACCAACTAAAAGAGAACCCTGGGCCCATGCCCTTTCCGGGAAAAAAACCTCAGGACGGCCCTCTGCTAGCCTGGGCGTCGTTTCTGGATGGGCTGGTGGGGATACTTTTTGTCGCAACCGCAAGCGAAAGCGCAGGCGGCGAGTAACGGAACGGGCGGGCCGCGCGCGAACCTAATTGCCTAACGCGCCAACAAACAGAGAGGCCTAGGCGGCAACTCAGAACACTGGAAGCGGAAGGGGGTGCGGGCTGCAGCTACCAGGAACCAGGTCCAGGAGCGCGCACATGCAATTCGCCAACCGAAGTCGGGGCGCAGCCAAAATGGCGCGGGAACGAAACCAGGATGAAGCCAAGAGCGCCACCACGAAGAAACTGCTGGTGGGGATACTGTTTTTGTCAGCGGCCGCAGGCGAGCGCGCCAGCGGCGAGTCCAGTCTGAGCGGGGTGCGCACAGACGAATTAACCTAAAGCGGCGGACGGGAGCCTCACGCAGCACCTCAGCGGCTGGCCGTCGAGTGGAAAGGGCAGGCGGGATGGTGGGGATACTTTTGTAGTCAGCGGCCGCAGGCGAGCGCGCCAGCGGCGGGGCTGGTGGGGATATTTTTTTTATACAGCCGCAGGCGGAAGCGCCGGCGGCGAGCAGTCGCGGTCGGGCTGCGGCCGCGACTAAGCTGGTGGGGATACGCGAAGCGTCTAGAATTCCCAAGGGAATTCGACTGTGTTTCCTACAACATGCCATTGGTTTCCTATGGCATGCGACGGATGGCCTGGGAAGAGCTAGGGATGTCTCCGGACATGGCAAGGACATGCTAGGAATTCCTGGGAATTCCTCTGGATTTCCGGGACATGCGAAGGATTTCCTAAGACACGTTAGTGATTTCCTAGGAAATCACGTTGGTGATTTCCTAGGAAATGCCAGGGATTCGCGCCAAGTGTGTGTGTGTGTGTGTGTGTGTGTGTGTGTGTGTGTGTGTGTGTGTGTGTGTGTGTGTGTGTGTGTGTGTGTGTGTGTGTGTGTGTGTGTGTGTGTGTGTGTGTGTGTGTGTGTGTGTGCGCGTGCGCGTGCGCGTGCGCGTGCGTGCGCGTGCGCGTGCGCGTGCGTGTGCGTGTGCGTGTGCGCGTGTGTGCGTGTGTGCGTGTGTGCGTGCGTGCGTGAGTGTGTGTGTGTGTGTGTGTGTGTGTGTGCGTGCGCGTGCGCGTGCGTGCGCGTGCGCGTGCGCGTGCGCGCGTGCGCGTGCGCGTGCGCGCGCGCGGCGCCGCGTGTGCGCGGGTGTGCGTGTGCCAGTGCGTGTGCGTGTGCGTGCGTGTGCGTGTGCGTGTGCGTGTGCGTGTGCGTGTGGTGTGCGTGCGTGTGTGTGTGTGTGTGTGTGCGGGTGCGGGTGCGTGTGTGTGTGTGTGTGTGTGTGTGTGTGTGTGTGTGTGTGTGTGTGTGTGTGTGTGTGTGTGTGGTGTGCGTGCGTGCGTGCGTGCGTGCGTGCGTGCGTGCGTGCGTGCGTGCGCGCTCGCGTGCGTGTGCGTGCGTGCGTGTGCGTGCGTGCGTGCGTGCGTGCGTGTGCGGGCGGGCGTGTGTGCGTGCGTGTGTGTGTGTGTGTGAGAGAGTGAGAGTGTGTCTGTGTGTATGTGTGTGTGCGCGCCATGCCCCCTTCCGCAGTGGCAGCGTGTCCTGCCGATGCAACTGCCGCCCCTCCCTTGCCTCCCCCCATCTCTGCCCGCCTTCCTCGTTGCTGCCTTCGCCACTCCCCCCAGCCCTCCCCCCACTTCTCCCCACGATTTTGTCCTGCCCCCACCCCGCCCGACGCTCCCGCTCGGGGTCGAGAACTCCGCGCCTCCCTATGGGTGAGGCCGCGGGCCCCTCTTCGGATGTGCGATGGCTGAGGCGCGCGTCGGGCGCGGGTATCGGCCGCTGGGTCTTTACACGGCACATTGCTGCGCATGCGCTTGCGGAGGGAAAAGCGCCAGAGTCCGTGGATGGCTCAGCGGTGCTTAGTAGAGCTTAGCAGGGCTCAGCAGTGCTCAGAAGAGCTTTGCAAGGCCCCGAATGCCCTCTGGAGGCCCTCCTGGAGCCGAGGTAACGCTTCCAGGGTGCCGGAAGCGTTATCGTTTCACCAGAAGGGGGGGTTCTTAAATGCTTCCTGGGGTTTAGACGAAAGGATGTTAGCGATGCTGGTCGTCCTCGAAATGGCCGTAGAGCTTGACGATGTTGGGGTGGTCCAGGGCGCTGAGCCGGTCCACCTCTGAGTCCAGGTGCGGGCGCTCCAGCATCTTCGCTTTGCTGATGATCTTCACCGCGTGCTGGGTGCCCGACCTAGAAGGAACATGATCGACCCACGAACCCGGAAAGGAATGTAGAACTGTAACACATGGCAGCGTTTTCAAAGACATCTGATTGGGTGACGGGCAAATTCAATACTGAAGGTATCGATCTTGATGTACCCTGCCGAGGGCTGTGCTGTGCTGCGCCGTGCTGAATTGCGATGTGCCATGGCGCGACTGTGCTCTATAGCCTCGTGGATCGAGTCCTCCTTTGCATCCGAGTCCTGACCGAACTGATCTGGATCTTAAGCTCGAGCTGCCTGAACACATAGTAGCTGCCCCAGAGCTAATGGACAGGGGAACATGCCAGGAGGACGCGCCGCGAAACGTCCCAAGGGATGCGCCAGGCGACGTGCCAGGGGACGCGCCATGGGGTCGCACCGCGGGACGTGCCAAAGGGACGCGCTACGGAACGTGCCAATGGATGTGCCACGGAATGTGCCAGGGGACGCGCCACGCGACGTGCCAGGGGGACTCGCCAAGGGACGCCCCACGGAACGTGCCAAGGAACGTGCCAAATTGCAATGCTGAGTGTATCGATCTTGATGTACCGTGCCGAGGGCTGTGCTGTGCTGCGCCGTGCTGAATTGCGATGTGCCATGGCGCGATTGTGCTCTATAGCCTCGTGGATCGAGTCCTCCTTTGCATCCGAGTCCTGACCGAACTGATCTGGATCTTAAGCTCGAGCTGCCTGAACACATAGTAGCTGCCCCAGAGCTAATGGACAGGGGAACATGCCAGGAGGACGCGCCGCGGAACGTCTCAAGGGACGCGCCAAGCGACGTGCCAAGGGACGTGCCATGGGGACGCATCGCGGGACCTGCCAAGGGGACGCGCTACGGAACGTGCCAATGGATGTGCCACGGGATGTGCCAGGGGACGCGCCACGCGACGTGCCAGGGGGACTCGCCAAGGGACGCCCCACGGAACGTGCCAAGCGAGCGTGACGTGAATCCTCGGAATTCCTGCGAGCGGGACGTGAAAACAAGCATTTCGCTTAAGACATCCTCTGAATTCTGGCCACCCACGAGGCCCCCGCTCGAGACATCCTCCAATGTTGCAAAGCCAGCGTTTCGCTCGAGACATCCTCAACAAATTATGAAAAACAAGCGTTTCGCTCGAGACATCCGGTCAAAATCACAAGAAATCCTCGCCAAACAAACAAATTAGCCGAGACATCCTCAACATTCCTGCGCGCGGGACGCGGCACGCGCGAGACCTCCTCTGAATTCCTGCGAGCGGGACGTGAAAACAAGCATTTCGCCTGAGACATCCTGTGAATTCTGGCACCCCACGAGACCCCCGCTCGAGACATCCCCCCAATTTTGCAAAACCAGCGTTTCGCTCGAGACATCCTCAACAAGTTCTGATAAACAAGCGTTTCGCTCGAGACATCCTGTCCAAATCCAAAGAAATCCTGGCAAAACAAGCGAATCAGTCGAGACACCCTCAACAAAGTATGAAACACAAGCGTTTCGCGCGAGACATCCTGTCAAAATCCAAAGAAACCCTCGCTAAAGAAACTAATTAGTAATTCCTGCGCGCGGGACGCGTCACGCGCGAGACATCCTCTGAATTCCTGCGAGCGGGACGTGAAATCAAGCATTTCGCTTGAGATATCCTTTCAATTCTGGTCACCCACGAGGCCCCTGCTCGAGACCCCCCGCCTAATTTTGCAAAACCAGCGTTTCGCTCGAGACATCCTCAACAAATTCTGAACATGATCGACCCACGAACCCGGAAAGGAATCTAGAAATGTAAAGCATGGCAACGTTTCAAAGACACGTGATTGGCCGACGGGCAAATGCAATGCTGAATGTATCGATCTTGATGTACCTTGCCGAGGGCTGTGCTGTGCTGGCCGTGCTGAACTGCGATGTGTCATGCCGCGATTGTGCTCTATATAGGGTTGTGAATCGAGTCCTCCCTGGCATCCGAGTCCTGACCGAACTGATCTGGATCTTAAGCTCGAGCTGCCTGAGCAGATGGTAGCTGCCCCAGAACCAATCGACAGAGGGGACATGCCAGGAGGACGCGCCATGCGACGTGCCAGGGGACGTGCCATGGGCACGCACCGCGGGACGTGCCAAGGAGACGTGCTACGGAACGTGCCAATGGACGTGCCGCGGGACGTGCCAGGGAACGTGCCGCGCGACGTGCCAGGTGGACTCGCCAAGGAACGCGCCAAGGAACGTGCCAAAATGCAAGTTTGAATGTATCGATCTTGATGTACCGTGCCGACGGCTGCGCTGTGCTGGCCGTGCTGAACTGCGATGTGTCATGCCGCGATTGTGCTCTATATAGGGTTGTGAATCGAGTCCTCCCTGGCATCCGAGTCCTGACCGAACTGATCTGGATCTTAAGCTCGAGCTGCCTGAGCAGATGGTAGCTGCCCCAGAACTAATCGACAGGGGGGACATGCCAGGAGGACGCGCCGCGGAACGTCCCAAGGGACGCGCCACGTGCCAGGGGACGTGCCATGGGGTGCACGCACCGCGGGACGTGCCAAGGGGACGCGCTACGGAACGTGCCAATGGACGTGCACCGCGCGACGTGCCAGGGGGACTCGCCACGGGACGCTCCGCGGAACGTGCCAGGCAACATGCCAGGCTGCAATGCTAAGGGTATCGATATTGATGTACCGTGCCGAGGGCTGTGCTGTGCCTGGGCGACCTGGACACGTGAAAACACGCGTTTCGCTCAAGACGTTCTCAGCACATCCTCATGCTAGACATCCGCCTGGGCAACCTGGACACGTGCAAACAAGCGTCTCGATCGAGACTTCCTCGACACATCCTCATGCTAGACATCCGCCTGGGCGACCTGGACACGTGAAAACAAGCCTCTGGTTCGAGACTTCCTCAACAAATCCTCATGCTAGACATCTGTCTGGGCAACCTGGAGGCGTGAAACCAAGCGTCTCGCTCGAGACATCCTCAAGACCTGGGCACGTGAAAACAAGCAATCCACTTGAAAGATCCTCTGAATTCAGGTCCCCAGGAGAGGACAATATATAACACAAAACAAGCGTTTCGCTCGAGACATCCTCAACAATTTCTGAAAAAACAAGCGTTTCGCTAGGGACATCCTCACATTTTAATTCGCCGGCCCTACGCGACCTCGTTATTTATCGCAAAAGAAATTCGCCGGCCCTAAAGCCGTCAAAACCGGGGGGAAACCAATTAACATGATCGACCCACGAACCCGGAAAGGAATGTAGAACTGTAACACATGGCAGCGTTTTCAAAGACACCTGATTGGGTGACGGGCAAATGCAATACTGAAGGTATCGATCTTGATGTACCCTGCCGAGGGCTGTGCTGTGCTGCGCCGTGCTGAATTGCGATGTGCCATGGCGCGACTGTGCTCTATAGCCTCGTGGATCGAGTCCTCCTTTGCATCCGAGTCCTGACCGAACTGATCTGGATCTTAAGCTCGAGCTGCCTGAACACATAGTAGCTGCCCCAGAGCTAATGGACAGGGGAACATGCCAGGAGGACGCGCCGCGAAACGTCCCAAGGGATGCGCCAGGCGACGTGCCAGGGGACGTGCCATGGGGTCGCACCGCGGGACGTGCCAAGGGGACGCGCTACGGAACGTGCCAATGGATGTGCCACGGGATGTGCCAGGGGACGCGCGACGCGACGTGCCAGGGGGACTCGCCAAAGGACGCCCCACGGAACGTGCCAAGGAACGTGCCAAGTTGCAATGCTGAGTGCATCGACCTTGATGTACCGTGCCGAAATCAGTGCTGTGCTGCGCCGTGCTGAATTGCGATGTGCCATGGCGCGATTGTGCTCTATAGCCTCGTGGATCGAGTCCTCCTTTGCATCCGAGTCCTGACCGAACTGATCTGGATCTTAAGCTCGAGCTGCCTGAACACATAGTAGCTGCCCCAGAGCTAATGGACAGGGGAACATGCCAGGAGGACGCGACGCAGAACGTCTCAAGGGACGCGCCAAGCGACGTGCCAAGGGACGTGCCATGGGGACGCATCGCGGGACCTGCCAAGGGGACGCGCTACGGAACGTGCTGGGGACAAGCGTTTCGCTCGAGACATCCTGTCAAAATCATCTGAATTCCTACGCGCGGGACGCTGCACGCGCGAGACATCCTCGGAATTCCTGCGAGCGGGACGTGAAAACAAGCATTTCGCCTGAGACATCCTTTGAATTCTGGCCCCCCACGAGGCCACCGCTCGAGACATCCTCCAATTTTGCAAAACCAGCGTTTCGCTCGAGACATCCTCAACAAATTATGAAAAACAAGCGTTTCGCTCGAGACATCCTGTCAAAATCCCAAGAAATCCAAATACCCGCGCGCGGGACGCGGCACGCGCGAGACATCCTTGGAATTCCTGCGCGAGGGGCGCTTTTCCGTGTCGCGGTCGGCTCTGCAAAACCAGCGTGTCGCTCGAGACATCCTCAACAAATTCTGAAACCAAGCGTTTCGCTCGAGACATCCCCAACTCTGCAAAACCAGCGTCTCGCTCGAGACATCCTCAACAAATTCTGAAAAACAAGCGTTTTGCTCGAGACATCCTCAATTTTTAATTCGCCGGCCCTACGCGACCTCGTTATCTATCGCAAAAGAAATTCGCCGGCCCTACAGCCGTCAAAACCGGGGGGAAACCAACTAAAACAGAACCCTGGGCCTTTGCCCTTTCCGGGGAAAGAAAACCCTGGGCTCAGGCCCTTTCCGGGAAAAACAAACGTTTCGCTCGAGACATCCTGCCAAAATTCAAAGAAATCCTGGCAAAACAAGCGAATTAGTCGAGACATCCTCGAAATTCCTGCGCGCGGGACGCGGCACGCGCGAGACATCCTCGGAATTCCTGCGCGCGGGGCGCTTTTCCGCGTCGCGGTCGGGGCTCCAGATCCCGTTATTAGTCCAGGATTCTGCGAAAAACGCTCCGCACCATCATTTTTACGAAAGAAAGCGGGGGTCTGCGGGAGCCTCCTGGAGCTTCTCCTGGGCCCTCCGTGGGCCCCCTGGTGCCTCCAGGGTCCTCCTGGGTCCTCCTGGGCCCTCCTGGGCTCTCCTGGGCTCCTGGGCTCTCCTGGAGCTTCCTGGGCCCTCCTGGGCGAAGTCAAGGTCCGAAAACACATGGGACTTGCCAGATTTCTGGAATTCGGTGCCACCCCTCACGCAGGTCGGCGGGGTCAGGATCCGAAAACACAAGGGATTTGCCACATTTCTGGAATTCCGTGCCACCCCTCACGCAGATCGGCGGGGTCAGGGTCCAAAAACACAAGGGATTTGACACATTTCTGGTATTCCGTGCCACACCTCACGCAGATCGGCGGGGTCAGGGTCAAAAAACACATGGGATTTCTGCGATTTCCAAACTTATGCAACTTCAAGAATCCAAAACTCCGTTCCCAGCGCCGTTCCGGAGGCCGCGGTACTCGTTATTTATCGAGCGAACTCGTTTACCTAGTTTTTTATCGTTCAAAGTCGATGTCGGAAAAAAAGTTGACTTCACCTGTGAAATATCGAGGTTTCCTTAAAGGCAGTAAAATTCCAAGAGCACGATCTGCGTGAGGGGTGGCGAAAAATGGCCTTCGTCCTCACAATTGAAATCCGCCGGCCCCCTTCGACTTCGTAAATTATCGCACAAGAATTCCGCCGGCCCCCTTCAAGTAAAAACCGGGGGTCAACCAACTAAAAGAGAACCTTGGGCCCACGCCCTTTCCGGGAAAAACTGCGTGAACATAAACTTCTGGAGGTCCGCGCAGATCCCTGAGATCCTGGCGACTCAATTTTTTCGAGCCGGGCGTTTTCGTCCAAGGTCGCCGGGACCCTCACAGATCGATCCGGCTCGAAAAATGACGCAGACAGATGGGGTCCCGGGTTCTGGGCGCGGATTTTCACGATGTTGCAATTTTTTTCGCCACGTCGGATCTCAGGGATTTCCGATCTGCACTGGGTCCTCTCCCTGGCGCGCTCAGCGCGGTAAGGGAGGCGCTGGAGGCGCCACCGCCATGGGTTCCAGCGCAGTTCCGAGAGATCCGCGCGGGCCTCCGAACATCTGTGCCTGCGCAGAGTTTTCTCTTCTTCGAGGGCCTCCTGTCCGTCGCCATCTTCACGTGGCCGAATGTCCCGGAGCCCAGGTCCCGCCCCAGGTCGTACGCCTCCCAGGCGGCTGGTAATGGGGGGTGGCTCAAATGGGGGGTGCACAAAAGGGTCCTCAAGGAGCCCTTTGAGGCCCCTTTGGGGGCCAGCAGGTGCCCCAAAGAGCCCTTTTGGGGCCTCGTTGCCACCCGCCGTGAGGGCCCCTTTTCGGGGCCCCTCTTGGGGGCCCTAAAGTCGGGTGTTGCTTGAAGTACCCCTGGCCCAAGGTGCCCCCAGCTTTTCGCTCCATTTTGGGGTCTCTGGGGCCCTCTGGGCCTCGTGAGCGGTGCTTTGGAGGCCGCTTGGGCTACCCCGGCAATCCTGGGGGCACCTTGGCCCAACGGCACTTCTAGCAACACCCGAAAGGGGCGCCATTACCGCCCACCCGAGCCTCCTCGAAGGCCCTGCCGGACTGCGGCAGCGTCGGCACGGCCCGGTGCTGCATGGCCTGCCCGCACTCGCACTGCACGCCCCACAGCAGCTCCCAGAAGACCTCGCGGAACGCCCCCATCGAGAGCCCGTGGCCCCCCGCATCCTCAAGAGGAAATACATCACGGAGGAGGAGGAGGAGGAGGAGGAGGAGGAGGAGGAGCAGGAGCAGGAGGGAGGAGGATGGAGGAGGAGGAGGAGGACGGGGACGGGGAGGAGGAGGAGGAGCAGGAGCAGGAGCAGGAGCAGGAAGAGGATGAGGAGGAGGAGGCGGAGGAGGAGGAGGAGGAGGGGCATAAGCATAAACTGTCGGAGCTCTGCGCGGGCTTCTCGGATCGGCGCTGGACTCCCTTCCCTGGCGCGCGGAGCGCGCCAGGGGCGGCGTCGGGCCAGGGGGTCCCAGCGCAGATGCATGAGCGTCCGCCCTCGAGCTCCATCAGTTCCTGTTCACGCCGCCTCGCTACGCCAAGGACCCCTCCCAGGGCGCGCTCTGACCAGAACCTCGAGGCGGATCCAGCCCTGGCGACGAGGAACCTCCCAGGAGGCCCAACAGGGCGCGAGGGCACCGAGAGTCTATGCCTAATGCCACTTGCTGCTCCTCGATCCTCCGTGCGCTGCTGCACGCAGCAGGCGGCGCCGCTGGTGCCCAGCAGCGCGTCCAGCGCCGCTCCCACGGCGAGCGCGTCCTCCCAGAGCACCAGGCGCACGCCGCCCGAGGGCCTCGCGTAGCGCTCGAAGAGCGCCTCGGACTCCGCCTCGATGCGCCCCTCGCGCAGCACCTGTGGCGTCTCGACTTCTGGCGGCGCGCACGGGGCGGCGGCAGTCTCTCGCGGAGGCCCCGCTCTCCCAGACGACCTACCGACTCCGTGCGCGTGAGCTGTGCGCGACGCTTCTTCGATCATTCGAACCTCGCCTCGCCTCGGCGGCGCACGCAAGGGGACAGGAGGAAGGGGGGAGCCTTCTTAGAAGGACGCTGCTTCTTAGAAGGCGCCGGCCTTACATCTGGCGCCTTACTAGAAGCAGGGGTGCTTCTAAGGAGCCTTCCCCCCTCGCCCATAGTTACCCCCTTCTGCGCGTGGCCGATCAAAGGTGCCTCCCCCCCGAGATCCAGGCGTTTTCATTCGGGTACGGGGCCCATCCGGGACCATCACAGATCGAGCTGACTCGAGAAATGCAACAGCTGGGGTCCATGCTTCCGCTCGTGATGCTTCGCGATGCTGCAATTTTGTCTCAACGTCGGATCCTAGGGCCCGATGGAGGGGGGCCACTAAGGGTACGTGGTGGTAGAAGCAGCATCATGAACATAACATGTGCGAGTTCCGCGCGAATTCCTTGGATGGGTGCTGGGACCGCCCCGCCTGGCTGAAACTTCCCAGAGATCGGCGGGGCGAGCGAGGGGGGGAGGTGAGAAGGCGAAGGCCCCTCTCAGAGGGCGGCGGGACCTCTCAGCAGCCCTCGCGCCTCCCGAGAGGTGCCCCGTGTCTTCGCGGGGAAGGCTTGGCTAACTCCTCAGCAGGCCGGGGGACTTCCGAGCCTTCCGAGAGGGCCGTGGCCACCGAAAGGAGGCCCGCCCCCACCCCTCAGGGCCGGGGAGGAGTGACCGAGGAGGAGGAGGGACGGAGGAGGACGGAGGAGGAGGAGGAGGAGGAGGAGGAGGAGGAGGAAGGAGGAGGAGGAGGAGGAGGAGGAGGAGGAGGAGGAGTCGCGAGCCCATAGGACGACGCGCCGAGTTCGATTCGGGAAGGGCAGGAGGAGTGGGAAAAGACGAGCGAGCGCAATCGAACACAAAAGACCAGCGGGCCCCCGGGGCACTGTTAGCCCAGCCGACGCTTCACGGCACTGACAGGAGGTCCCACGAATAGAACCCAGAATCGGCCAAGCCGAACTCCCGGGACACGAAACGAGTTTCGAAGGACAACTCGAGATATATGTATTGGATGGATAGCAGGCCTCGCCACTGGACACCATCGTCCGTGACCAACAGCCTGCGAGGGAGGGGGGGAGGGGGGGAACGGCCTCCCTTAGGGTGGACGCCCTTCATCAAATTATCCCTCCTCCGCTTACGCGGGGGACTCCCCTCAAGGGCAGCCTCGGGATCACAAGTCCAGAAGAGCTGTGTGCGTGCCGACCTGACCGAACATGCCCCACACTTGCTGCATCCCACAACGTCCCCAGAAATATACAAGACATGCCCTCTCGCCGAACAGGGCGGGACCCCTCCCGTCCTCGGCAAGGGCTGCATGGGAAGGCCCGCGTCCGCCAGCGAAGGCGGGTGCCTCTCGCGGCCCGCTTCACGCCTCGCGCCGCCGCAACCGAGACCGCACCCGCGAGGGCCTCCTGCTCTCGAGGCCTCCGAAAAACACACCTTCTTTCGCGGCACGAAACACGGCGGAGGAGGAGGAGGAGGAGGAGGAGGAGGAGCAGGAGGAGCAGGAGGGGTAACAGGAGCGAAATGGGGATCGATTCCAGCAGGACCAGTGGGGATGGTGGGGGTCGGCCAGAGGACACGCCACTACAGCCCCAGGACAGGAGGAAGTCGAGGAGGGGAGATCGCTCGACGAGGTCGGAGGCGAAGGAGGGGGGGTGACCCGAGGCGTAACCCTGTGAGGCCAAAGCTCCTTCTCCTGCGGCTGCTCCTCCTGCCCCCCGTCGCCCTCCAGACGACGACGCGACGCTCTCCCCGCCCCCTGCATTGCGTCACCTTCCGGATTTCGAGCCGCCCTCGGGTCAAGGCTGGGCAGCTCGCTGGGGCCCCCGAGGGCCGATCGCTCCAGGCCACGAGACCTGGCGGCCCTCTCGGTCTCCAGGTCCCCCTCCCTCGGACGCTGCCTCGGCCCCGGGACCTCGGGCTTCCAGGAGCCGCGGACCAGGTCGGGTCGGGTCTGGCAGCGGCCCCGACGGAGCCGCTCCAGACCCGCCAAGGAGCGAGCCGAGCGGGGGCGGTGGGCACATCGCCAGCCGTGCTGGCCACGAACAGGGACGTGTGTTCCCCTCACGTTGGCCTCCTCTCGAGGCTTGATCAGGCGCGCGGCTGCGCCGCCACCTTCAGGAGCTGCGCCCGCGCCACGACTGCTGGCAAGACGACCGCGGCGCCCCGGGGTAGCCACCCTGTCCGGTGACCTCGCCTCCAGGTTGGCCTTGCCGTTGCCGATCGAGGCCGCCACCTGGCGCAACTCCTCCAGGAGCTCGGCGTGGCGCTCGTAGACGGCCGTGGGCACCCCGTGGATCGCCAGGCCCTGCTTCGCCGCCATGTCCGCGCAGTCGTTGCCGATCTTGTCGGGCGGTTCGCCCGACTCCGAGCCTGTCTGGTGGCCCTTGATCCATGTGATGCTGAGGTCTGAGCTGAGGCCGCCATGATCCTCCAGCGCGTGCCACCGCTGGCGCCACAAGTCCACGTTCTCCCTGTGCGGGTGCGCGGTGTGCCTCTTCCCCTGCTCGAGACCATCCACAATGCCCTAGCAGTCCGTCTTGATATTCATTGGGATTTTGGCCGTGCTTGAGCGCCTGGATGATCGCGTGCAGCTCGCCTCGCTGCGCCGTCTGCTGGGGGCCAGGCAGCGGCCCACATGCCATGCCAAATGACCGCTGCCCGCCCATCGCCGCGATGGCCCAGCCCGCTCGATTCGCTTCTGGCCAGTGAAATGGATACTTGGCCGATCCATCGGTGACGATATCCCCCGTGATGGCCATGTCCCTGTCGCCCATGCAGTAGTACCAAGCCTGGGCGTCCACCCTCGTCGGCAGCACAGGGAGGGCCGCCCGCGGCAGGAGCCCTCTCGTCGCGAGAGGCAAACCAGGGCCGGCGCACGGGCGACGCTCGGGCGACGCACTGAACGAAACTTAAAGGGGGGGGGGTTGGTCGCTTCACTGGGCCTTAACATTCTCGTGTAGAATAAATTGTTTGGCGCTGCCTGCAATGCGCGCCTCCTGGCATCACCATCCACAGCTTCCACGCGCATGTCCTGCAAGTTCGGACAGGACCAGCAGTCCTGGCAGTAGCAGCAGTTGGGGTCCTCCACGTAGCCAACCGAGTAGAGCCGCTGCTGGCCCATTGAGCCCCAATGACTGTCGACCTCAATGCCCCTCGGGCTCGCATGCTGATGCGGTTGGACCATTCTTCCCATTTCATGCCGCGGTAACTGCGTCGTGCCATGGCGCGGGCCCAGCTCGGTGAGGTGTCCATCAGATCCATCGTCACGCCGTTTCCTGTCGTTCAACTCCTCGCCGAGTGGGCGCGCCATCCCGGGCCATCCCAGTCGCCGAAGAAGCAGCTGTACTGCGCCAACTGGGCCAGAAACTTGCCCCCACGCGCAGGTGCTCGAGATCGCTCTGGCCTGAATGTCCCAAGCCTTCTCTAGGATGTGGAACGGCACCTGGCAATCGCATACCATCTGGGCCCACGTGTAGAGCGGCTCCGTCATGGCCATGCCCTCGGGCATCAGGTTCGGGCCCTCCTCAAGCAACGACGCCAGCCATGTCGACGATGCCGTCGGGGTCTTGGCCCAGCCTGTGCGCGCTACGTTCGTCATCGAGGGCGGCGTGGATGGCGGGGCTCCGACCGCGCGTGTGCCGTGCGCCATGCCGGGCGCCAGTGCGGGTCGCGCAACTCGTCTGGCGATCCGCGCCAGTCCTCGGAGTCCCCGAAACGCGGGAAGGCGCTCCTTGACCTTGCGCACCCTCGCTCGGATCGCCGAGTAGGTGAGACGAGCGCCCGCGCGACATTCCAATCCCAAGACGTCGAGCTGCCGCGCCGCCTCGAAGCCGAAAGCGCGGAGTCGTCGCGCCACTTGCTCAGCCAGCCACTGCGAGGAGCTCAAGGTCTTGGCCTTGTCCATGGCGGCCAGGGGGCTCCAGCACCTCGAGTGCCGCGGCCGGCCTCGCAATGACTCCAGTAGCCAGCTCTACCATCTCCGTCGAGTGGGGCATTATCTGCAGCGTGATGTCGCCCGCGTAGATGTCTAACGTGATCCTGGGCCCGCCCAGGGAGGCGCTGAAGATGTCAAACGGCATCGCCATGGCCAGCTGGAGGAGGTGCATCGCGATCGCGCAGCCAGGTAGGGCGCCAGCCGCGGCGCGGACCGCGTAGGAGTAGGTCGCCCCCCAACGGGCCCCCCCGGGCGCCGCATGCACGGAGGGCGCCGCCCTGGGGGCATCCGTGGGGAAGCCGTAGTACTGTGCCGCTCTGATGATCTTGATCCACTGGCGCCTGTCGAAGCATTTGCTGATGTCCACAAGCGTGGTGATGACGGCCTCGCCCTCTGTCGTGTCCGTCGCCTCGGCGTAGACCATGGTGCGAGCCTCCACGTCAACAGTTGATCTCCCCGTCACCAATGCAAATCTGTCATGTTGTGGGCCGCCGCCCATCTGCGGATGTGGCCTATGCGCACCTTGGTGTAGACACCGTATATGGTGGGAAGGAGGGCGATCGGGCGGAAGCCACCCCCCTGTGCCTTCGCGGGGAGCATCACGTGCACGGCCATGACGGACGATGCCCCCCCCCCCCCCCCCCCCCCCCCCCCGATGACTCCGATGCTCATAGAACGTAAATCAACATGGCCAGCGCGTCGCCAGACAGGATGGAGTAGGCGCGGGGGGTGGGGCGCGGGGGGGCGGGGGGGGGGGGGCATAGCGTCGACGCCCAGGCCTGTCTTCCAAGCGAAAGTCCTGGAGGCCGCTCGCATCTCGTCGATCCTCGGCACGGGGAGGGCGCCCCGCGGGGGGCTGCGGATGAGCCCGGGCATCTCGCCGTCCATGGCGATGAGGTGCTCTATATCGTACTCACTGGCAGTGGCCATCCGCTGGGGGCGCTGCCCCCAGTCGAGGTCATCCTGGACATCCTTGATGACGGTGTCCTGATCTGGCTTCTGCGAGATCACGGTGCCCTTCCAGATGTCGTTCCAGAAATCTATTTGAGCGTCAGCCACCGCCTGAGGAAGTGCCGTGAGTATGCCGAACCTGTCCACTTCGTTGTGCGCCCAGCCCTTCAGCCTAGTCATGCCGTAGACTAGCGAGGCCCCCGTGATCGTGGCGTCCTGGGCCCACTTCTGGAAGCTGATGGTGCGGCGCTTGGCCGCCTGCCTCTCGGGGCGCTCAGCGCGGGCATCCGCGGCGGCCGTGCGCGTGCTAACCAGCGCGGCGAAATGGCGCCCCGCCCGCGTGGCAACATTGTGGATCATGCGCCGAGCCGGCCCAGATAAGATGATCCCCTCCTTCGCGCGCAGGTCCTGCCGATGTCCACGCCGAAGTGCTCTCGCCAACCGTGCCCATCGCATCCATCCGAGAGTCCGCGCCGCACTCAACCGAGTAAGCGAGGCCATGCAGCGTGAGCGCCAGGTTGCGCACGTAGCGTGCCTCCGCGCCCGCTGCTGGTCTGCCAGGTGTATATATATATATATATATATATATATATATATATAGGGGGGGGGGGGGCCCACCGACAGGTCGCCAGACGTAGGCAGTGCGAGCTGCCCTGCCGCAGTAGCTCCCCACGTCCTGCAGTTGATATATGCGGCCGAGATCCTGCCCCATGAAAATGGGTCGTCGCGTCCAAAATGGCGTGCGTCGCGTCCAGGCGCTGTTGCGCCTCCTCTGCGCCCTGTGGGTGTCCGCGTCCAGGGTCAGCCTGCGCCACCTCGATGCACGGCTTCGGTGCTGGTGGTCCCGTCACAGGACTGGCGCTCCCAAATCGAGGCGGCTGCCGCGGGAACGCCTTGGGCGCCTGGAGATGAAGTTGAAGCTGAACACGGGGGCGCGCTGCATGATCCATCCGGACTGGGAGGTGAAGCTTGGCCGCCCACCCGTCTAGGACTCGGGGCTGCTCGCGTGCCTTCGCAAAGGCAGGCGAGGTAAGCCAATGGCCGATGGTGCTGAAATTGCCTGCGGCAGCTGCTCTGCACGCACCCGTCGGAGGAGGTCACTGCGATGGCAGGCGCCACCTGCAGGAATCCGAGGTCCTCCAAGAGGGCGGGCTCGGCATTCCAGTCGGCCGCGAAGATGAACGGGGCCGAGAAGTAGCGCATGGTCTCGGCGATGCGCATCATGTTCTGGTAGTTCGCGCTGAGGTAATCGTGGTCCCTGACCGACTCCATGCACGCGGATCCCACGATGATGCCACCTGGTGGCCCAACATGTACGTGTACTGCCACTGCCCAAGAGTGTAGAATCTTAAAACCGTCAGCGATGCCCCCCGTGTGACTGAGTAACGTAGTCCCCACATGCTTCCTGACAAAGAATACCACCTCTGCACTCGACAATTTTGATGCGAAGCGTCTGCGCGGAGTGATGAAAGGCTGCCAACCTTGGCGCATGGCCGAGGTGGGAGCTTGACCCAATCGTTCTCCATCAAAGCGAAATTCCTGAAATGCGATCACCAGAGCATCCCCTGCAGATTCCGTCAGAAACTGCTGGCACGAACTCGAGCAAAACCCATTAAAGGTTACGTTGCCACTCCGGTCGTCGTCCGTCTTGCACCTCGCCTTCCGCGATGATTAGTTGTTCTCCAACGCTGCCGCCTCCGCGCTGGCGGGGGAGTAGGAGAAGCCACGGGCGCCCGCTGCTGGACCTGCTGCGTCTGCTGGGGCGGTAGCTGCGGCGCCCGCAGCTGGCTGGGAGGCGCTGGCGCCAGCAGGCTGCCCGCCTGCGGTGCGAACATGATGGACCCACGAACCCGGAAAGGGATATAGAACCGCATGCATGGAAACGTTTTCACGACACCGCATTGGGCGACGGGCACTTCCACGAGACACCCCGCGAAACATTCCACGAGACACGGGCGACCGTTTTCAATGATTTCCTGGAAACATTCCACGAGACACCCCGCGCAACAGTCCACGAGACACCCCACGAAACATTCCACGAAGACAGGCAACCACTCAACCAAGGCGGTGTGGTCGTGCTGGGGAGTGGTCGTGCTGGGGTGTGGTCGTGCTGGGGGGTGGCCGTGCTGGGGGGTGGTCGCGCTGGGGGGGTAGTCGTGCTGGGGGGTGGTCGTGCTGGGGCGTGGTCGTGCTGCGGCGTGGTCGTGCTGGGGCGTGGTCGTGCTGGGGTGTGGCCGTGCTGTGGTGAGGTCGTGCCGGGGTGTGGTCGTGCTGGGCGGGCACGCAAAAACTCAACACTGTCACGCTAAATCCTAGAAAAACAAATGAATTAGTCGAGACATCCTCGAAATTCCTGCGCGCGGGACGCGGCACGCGCGAGACAGCCTCGGAATTCCTGCGCGCGGGGCGCTTTCCCGCGTCGCGGTCGGCTCTGCAAAACCAGCGTTTCGCTCGAGATATCCTCAACAAATTCTAAAAACAAGCGTTTCGCTCGAGACATCCCAAACTCTGCAAAACCAGCGTTTCGATCGAGACATCATCAACAAATTCTGAAAACCAAAAAACATGATGGACCCACGAACCCGGAAAGGGATATAGACATGTGGAGCATGGACACGTTCTCATGATACCCAACGGGGCAACACCTCACGAAACATCCCACGAGACACCTCACGAAACATCCCACGAGACACCTCACGAAACATTCCGCGAGACACCTCACGAAACATTCCAGGAGACACCCCGCGAAACATTCCACGAGACACCCCACGAAACATTCCACGACGACAGGCAACCACTCAACCAAGGCGGTGTGGTCGTGCTGGGGAGTGGTCGTGCTGGGGTGTGGTCGTGCTGGGGGGTGGTCGTGCTGGGGTGTGGTCGTGCTGGGGGGGTGGTCGTGCTGGGGGGTGGTCGTGCTGGGGCGTGGTCGTGCTGGGGCGTGGTCGTGCTGGGGCGTGGTCGTGCTGGGGTGTGGTCGTGCTGTGGTGAGGTCGTGCTGGGGTGTGGTCGTGCTGGGGTGTGGTCTTGCTGGGGTGTGGTCGTGCTGGGGTGTGGTCGTGCTGGGGTGTGGTCGTGCTGGGGTGTGGTCGTGCTGGGGTGGTCGTGCTGGGGTGGTCGTGCTGGGGTGTGGTCGTGCTGGGGGGTCGTGCTGGGTGCGTGGTCGTGCTGGGGCGTGGGTGCGTGGTCGTGGGGTGTGGTCGTGCTGTGGTGGTGTCAAAAACAAGCGTTTCGCTCGAGACATCCTCAAATTTTAATTCGCCGGCCTCAAAAACAAGCGTTTCGCTCGAGACATCCTCAAATTTTAATTCGCCGGCGCTCAAAAACAAGCGTTTCGCTCGAGACATCCTCAAATTTTAATTCTCGGGCTCGTTATTTATCAGGGAAAAATTCGCCGGCCTCCTTCGACCTCGTTATTTATCAGGGAAAAATTCGCCGGCCTCCTTCAAGCAGGCACCGGGGGACTAGTTTACAAACTAAAAGAGAACCCTGGGCTTAAGCCCTTTCCGGGAACAAACGTTTCGCTCGAGATATCCTCAACATTTAATCCGCCATCCAGGATGGCTCCCCCCACCATGTTGCAGTCCCGGCCCGCCGTGATGGAGTTCCTGGCACCCTGCAAGATCTGCTGCAAAGAGGCGACAGCAGTAGCCGCCTCCGCCATGGCAGGCACCTGCGCGGGGCCCAGCGCGAACCTGGCCTGGGCGACCTCCGCGTTGATGCCTGCGAGCTGCTGGTTCGCCATGGCCAACTTGCCATTCGTGTCGTCGAGCTTCGCCTTGAGGTCCTTGGCATTGGACTCCAGGCGCTCCACCTCCTGCTTGCAGTTGCTCTGGCGCGCGAGGGCAGAGCGGAGGACATCTTCTGGTGCCACCTTCGCCCTCTCTTGCTACTCCGCCTTGGCCAGCTCGTCTCGCGCCACGGCCACGATGGGGCTCTAGTCATCATAGTCGTCGTAGCCCAGCGAGTGCCTTCTTGCACTTGGCCACTGCGGTGTCGCCTAGCTTGTCGACCTCCATGCCGTCGGCCGCGCCACTGTGTTCGTCACCAGGAGCAGCGCGAGGAGGGCGAGAGCCTGAGCGAGCCCCGCTGGAGCGCGGGCGGCTGCCGCGGGCGCCCTTGTCCGCGGTGGGCCTGCCCTTGCGGTCGCGCCCGCACGCCCAGCATGTCGACCTGCTGGCGAAGTTGTTGGCGAAGCCGCAGGCGCGTGTGGCGACGCAGGGCCAGGTGCCCTCGCGCCACGGGGCTGGCGCGGGCGGTTCGCCAGTGCCGCCGCCGCCCATGGCCTGGAGCTCGCTTGCCTCGCCGTGGTGGCCAGCGAGCGTCCTCCTCGCCGCCTCCAGGCGGAGGAGGCTCCTGGCTCTCGAGCGCGCCCTTCTCTCGCGCCTGGGCCGGGCAGGAGACGGGGCACGCTTCGCCGTGATGCCGGAACCAGCTGTGCAACAGCGCCCGCCGTGCGCGCGGGCCGCTGGCGGCTGGGGGCGGCCTAGCGCGAGCTCGCAAGCTCGAGCCGAGGCGGCCGCCTAGGAAGAGGAGGAGGAGGAGGAGGAGGAGGAGGAGGAGGAGGAGGAGCAAAAGGAGGATGAGGATGAGGATGAGGATGAGGATGATGAGAATGAGGATGAGGATGAGGATGAGGAGGAGGAGGAGGAGGAGGAGGAGGAGGAGGAGGAGGAGAACACCGCCGAGGCCTGGCGCACCCAGTCGAGCTGCGAGGGGCCCGGCTGCGTCCGCGGCCGCAGGAGGCACCGCTGCTCCTGGGAGCGGCGCGGCCACGAGGGGGTGGCGCGTCCGGGCGGGCCGTCGGCAGCAGTCGTGCTGCCACCGAGGAGCGCGGAACGAGGACCGGCGTGGCTTCCTGGCGACGGCGAGCCTCGGGCACGAGCAGGCGCACCGGCCCAGATCCGAGGAGCAGCCCGGGAGCTGGAGCCGAGTCCCGAGTCCAAACGCCGGGTCCTCATCAGAGCGCCGCGGCCGAGATTCGGGGGGCTTCTCGGAAGGAGAGGGCCTTCGCAGAGGCCCCGCTCGGCCCCCTGCGAAGCCTTCTTCGGGGGCGCGCGCACGTGGATTAGCGATCCATGGATTTGGCGCGCGGTCGCCAAGTCCATGGATCGGGGAAGGTGCCCTCCCCAAAACGCGGCCCGTGCCGCCTTTCTCGGCGACGGAAGTCCACGATTTCCCACGGAAGCGGGACCCGTCGCTAATCCACGCCCCTTTGATCCATGTCTGCGATCGCCTGACTTTTGCTGAGGGCCGTCCTTGCCAGGCCCCCTCTCCTTCCCAAGGAGTCCCCCAAGGGCGCCCCCCTCACGCCACCCTCCGCGCGTGGCCGCCGAGCTCCTCCAGCGACAGCGGAGAGTTCGGCTTCACGTCCAGCACCACCTCGCCCGTCTCCGCGTCCACGCGGGCCACGCGCACGGGCATCCAGCAGCCGTTAGACCTGCTGAAATACTCGATCCGACTGCCCGGCACCAGCACCAGCGGCACCTGCTCCGAGTCCGCAGGCCGCTCGGCAGGGCTCCCTCCTCCCGGCGGCGGCGGCGGCGGCGACGACGACGGCTACGGCGACGACGACGACGACGACGACGACGACGACGACGACGACGACGACGACGACGACGACGACGACGACGGCGACGACGACGACGGCGACGACGACGACGACGACGACCCCCGCGCTGTCCGGCGGCGGGCGCCGCCGAGCTCGGCGGCGGCCCCGGCCGCGCGGGCGAGGGGCTCCGGGGCGCCGCCGCGCGCGGGCCCGCGCGGGGGGCGTGCGCGCCCCGCGCGCAGGGGGTGGGCACGGCCTGCACCGCCTCGGGGCGGAGGCGGCGCCCGCGCTCGGCGGAGGAGGCAGCGCCCTTGGGCGCCGAGGGGTGCGGCGCGGGCGGGGGCGCGGAGGGGCCCGGCCTGGGCGGTCCGGCGGATCGCTCGGCCGATCACGGCACCCCTTGCGTTGGCGCGATGCGATCTTGCAGCCCTGCTCACGACAGCTGCGGTCAGCCCGTAGAATAAGGGACGCGCGAGAAGGATGCAAGGGCCTTGGAAGGCCATGTCGGCACTTTGCGAGCGGGGCGCGGCCAGCGAAAGCGGCCAAGGATGGGCCGAAGGGGAAGGACGCAAAGGTCACCTTGGAAAGTCGCTTATCCTTATTATGCGGGAAGAGTGTACCGCGCCGATCGCGGATCGATCCCGCACTCCACCTCGAACGATCGCGTGATCAAGCCGGACCGATCGCGTGATCGGCGATCACTTGATCCCCCGATCACTACGGTCGGTGATCGCCGATGGCGTGATCAGCAGACGCAGAGAGCCTGGCGCGCAGTGGGCCATGGCGAGGAGGCCTTGGCGGTTCGCGCCCTGCGCGCGTGGCGGTGCAAAAATTATGCGAATTCGGAGCGTCGGGCCCTGGGCACAGCAAAACAGCTGCGGAGGGGGTGGTCCTGCGAGGCCCGAAACGGCAGGACGTAAGCTCTGCTGCGCAGGGGGTTGGGGTGGCGGGGGCGGGCGGGGGGGGGACAGGGCGAGGTAGGGACGGAGCGGAGAGGGAGTTGGGGGGAGCGGGGGGTCCTCCTCCTCTCCTCCTCCTCCTCCTCCTCCTCCTCCTCTCTCCTCCTCCTCCTCCTCCTCCTCCTCCTCATCTGGCGGGGCGGAAGGAGGGGACGCGGGGAGTGAGCGTCGCATCCGCTCGGCGCCTCTTTTCTCCTCCGCCCTGCCGGCTACGAGAACAGACTGGCTCCCAGGTTGCCGCCCCCTGGGCCGCCTGCTGCAGCGCGGGGGCAAGGAGGAGGAGGAGGAGGAGGAGGAGGAGGAGGAGGTCCTCAGGTGAGCTCCCTCAAGCCTGCGTGCGCTGGGTTCGGCACCGCTGGACGGCTGCGCCCGCCATGCTTTTTTGGGCGCCCTCCACCGGCCGCTCGTGCCCCCAAGCCTGTACCTCGTTCTCTGGCCGCTCCGCTTCGATCTCCGCGGCAAAGCCCGGGACCCGTCGAGCCACAATCCGGGGCCTCCCCCACTTTTTCAGTGGCACCTTGCTCGCTGGCGGCTTCGCTCCCCAATCGCTGCGATTCACCCCGCCGCCTCACTCCGTTCCGCGATCGGACCGAGAATACGCTGGACTCGGCCCGTGCCTCACGTCTTCATGATCTCATTACCACGAGCTGCTGTGGCCGCACCGCTCCGTTGGCACGCGTGTCTGTGTGCGTGTTTGTGCGTGCGTGCGTGTGACACCGCCCACGGTGCTGCGTGTCCCCTTCCCGCCATCCACGCACGGTTGGCTGATGACGGTCGGGCCGCATCCCTGATGATACTTAAAAGGCCCGGCCGCCGCGCGCACCGTCTTTACGCTTACTCCGCCTCGCCGCCGCGCGCCCGCTGCCGCCCAGAGTGTGTGCGCGCGTGCTTCCTTCCCTTCGTTTCCCCTATCCTTCCCGCCCTCCTTGCCCCTGCCCGCACTCCCCCCGCGCCTGCCCCCTCACGAATGTTGCTGTTCGATCCGCTATTGTCAGGTTGGGCCTGTCACCTATACAGGCGGATCTTGGAGGAAAAAAAAATATTCAAACATGATCGACCCACGAACCCGGAAAGGAATATAGAAATGTAACGCATGGAAAAGGTTTTAAGGACACCTGATTGGGTGACGGGCAAATGCAATGCTGAGTGTATCGATCTTGATGTACCGCGCCGAGGGCTGTGCTGCTGCTGCACCGTGCTGAATTGCGATGTGCCATGCCGCGATTGTGCTCTATAGCGTCGTAGAGCGAGTCCTCCTTTGCATCCGAATCCTGACCGAACTGGGCTCGAGCTGCCTGAACACATAGTAGCTCCCCAGAGCTAATTGACAGGGGGACATGCCAGGAGGACGCGCGGAGAAACGTTCCATGGGACGCGCCAAGCGACGTGCCAGGAAACGTACCATGGGGTCGCACCGCGGGACGTGCCTTCAAGGGGACGCCGCGCTACGGAACGTGCCAATGGATGCGCCACGGGATGTGCCATGGGACGCGCCACGCGACGTGCCAGGGGGACTCGCCAAGGGACGCCCCACGGACGTGCCAAAGAACGTGCCAGGTTGCAATGCTGAGTGTATCGATCTTGATGTACCCTGCCGAGGGCTGTGCTGTGCTGCGCCGTGCTGAATTGCCATGCCGCGTTTGTGCTCTATAGCGTCGTAGATCGAGTCCTCCTTTGCATCCGAGTCCTGACCGAACTGGTCTGGATCTGAAGCTCGAGCTGCCTGAACACATAGTAGCTGCCCCAGAGCTAATTGACAGGGGGACATGCCAGGAGGACGCGCCGCGAAACGTCCCATGGGACGCGCCAAGCGACGTGCCAGGAAACGTGCCACGGGGACGCACCGCGAGACGTGCCTTCAAGGGGACGCGCTACGGAACGTGCCAGTGGACGTGCCACAGGACGTGCCAGGGGACGCGCCACGCGACGTGCCAGGGGGACTCGCCACAGGACGCGCCACGGAACGTGCCAAGTTGCAATGCGGAGTGTATCGATCTTGATGTACCGCGCCGAGGGCTGTGCTGTGCTGCGTCGTGCTATATGGCGATGTGCCATGCCGCGATTGTGCTCTATAGCGTCGTAGATCGAGTCCTCCTTTGCATCCGAGTCCTGACCGAACTGGTCTGGATCTGAAGCTCGAGCTGCCTGATTACATAGTAGCTGCCCCAGAGTTAATTGACAGGGGGACATGCCAGGAGGACGCGCCGCGAAACGTCCCATGGGACGCGCCAACCGACGTGCCAGGGAACGTGCCATGGGGACGCACCGCGGGACGTGCCTTCAAGGGGACGCGCTACGGAACGTGCCAGTGGACGTGCCACAGGACGTGCCAGGGGACGCGCCACGCGACGTGCCAGGGGGACGCGCCACAGGACGCGCCACGGAACGTGCTAGGGAACGTGCCAAGTTGCAATGCTGAGTGTATCGATCTTGATGTACCGCGCCGAGGGCTGTGCTGTGCTGCGCCGTGCTGAATTGCGATGTGCTATGCCGCGATTGTGCTCTATAGCGTTGCCTCTGCCTGGGCAACCTGGAGGCGTGAAACCAAGCGTCTCGCTCGAGACATCCTAAAGACCTGGGCACGTGAAAACAAGCAGTTCACTTGAGAGATCCTCTAAATTCTGGCCCCCAGGAGAAGACAATCTATAAAACAAAACAAGCGTTTCGCTCGACACATCCTCAGCAAATTCTGAAACAAGCGTTTCGCTAGGGACATCCTCAAAACAAATCCGCCGGCCCACCTCGACCTCGATATTTATCAAGGAACAACTCCGCCGGCCCACCTCAAGTCAGGTCTGGGGGTAAACAGCTAAAAGAGAACCCTGGGCCTAAGCCCTTTCCGGGAAAAAATGCACCCAAAATCCGCCGGCCCCCTTGCGGAGCCACCAGGCTGTAGGCCGGGAGTGTGCTGCTCCCTGTGCCAGTTGCAGCTTCCAGTTCCCACTGTCACAGTTCTGCTTACTGTTCCTTGTTGATGAACGCGCGAGGGGGGGGAGCCCAAACCAGCAGAACTACCACGCCCTGGGAGGGTTCTCGGAATTTCTGGGGGGGGGAAAATTGACACCCCTCACGCAGATCCGCAGGGTCAGGGTCCAAAAACACAAGGGATTTGCCACATTTTTGAATTTCAGTGGCACCCCTCACGCAGATCGGCGGGGTCAGGGTCAAACGTGATCGACCCACGAACCTGGAAAGGAATATAGAAATCTAACGCATGGCAGCGTTTCCAAAGACACCTGATTAGGTGACGGGCAAGTGCAATGCTGATTGTATCGATCTTGATGTACCGTGCCGAGGGCTGTGCTGTGCTGCACCGTGCCAGGCCGCGGTTGTGCTCTATAGCGTCGTGGATCGAGTCTTCCTGTGCATCCGAGTCCTGACCGAACTGATCTGCATCTTAAGCTCGAGCTGCCTGAACACATAGTAGCTGCCCCAGAGCTAATTGACAAGGGGACATGCCAAGAGGACGCGCCGCGAAACGTCCCAAGGGACGCGCCAGGCGACGCGCCCGGGGGCTGTCGAGGCGTAATTCTGGAACTCGGTTATACCACTGGCCCCCCGGATCCTGGAGCATGTAGCCCAGATCGGGGTCCCAAAGTTGCCGAAAGCCAACAACTTCAATTAATTGCCCCACTGATAATAACGAAGGACAATCTGGCAGGGCAAGAGCTGAACTCCGTAAGCCTACCTCTGGTAGTTTGATGTCGTAGTGCTCGTTGACAGTACGATCACCATTGGCTGTTTCCAGAATGTGTTCCTCGCGGATAGATATGCGATCAGATCCGGTCTGCGTAAGCTCGTTCTTATCCTGGATATGGTGCGCATATCCACTGACGAGAACCCAGGGGCGGGTCAGTGCGGCTGTCGATCGTGGAGGGTCGACAGTAGGTGTCGCCACCGTCACCTGGATCGTCTCGGACGACTCTGTGGAGGAGTCGGCAGAACCTGTAATCGCAGTGGGTATTGCTACCGACACTGGATCGTGTCGATAGTCCTGTAGGTCCTTATACCATAGTTGGGCCTCCCGTTGACGACATTGCAGAGCCTCAGCACTCTGTGTCCACCACCATTGCGATAGCGGGTCTGGTATCTTGACAATGTCGCCTTCGTTCGGCTTGTCGATCCACTTGTCGAGAGTGGCCTTGCCAGAAACGATGCGCGGGAAGTATTCCACATCGTGTGTGTCGAAACGTATCCGACGTCGTGGTGTCGTAGAGACCTTCTTGGCCTTGTGCACGGCCATTGGGGCCTTGTCACGTATGACGCAACTGCGGTCGTAGCGGCGTGGGCGGCGACCAATAGCAGGAGAGCGTGCTCGAAACCGACGGGAGCCACGGGATGAACTGCGGCTCATGGAATGGCAGTCGCGTCCTCTGTCAGTGCCGGATGACCTGTCCTAACATTGGCAAAGGGCTCGAGCTGCGCCCCGCCGAGGCGGTGCATCGTGCCAGGTTCGTCGCGTGGGCTGGCAAGCGTGTGCTGTTTGTTTTGTTTTCCTGTTTTTACGCTATATTCTTTGCTAAATATAATTATGCGTTAAATTTGTTTTTTGTTGTTGTTGTTTTGTTTCTTCCTTGCCTAAACTCTGCCCAGAAGGGTTCTTACTATTAGGCTTTTAGGGCCGGGCAGTGGAACCCGCCCCCGGCGGTTCCCCCGGCATCCGCCCCGCGGTTCCCCCAGTGACGTTCCCTTAGCTTCGCGTTGCTTATCTCATCTTCACTTAGCTTATTTCATTTTACCTTAGCTTAGCTTCATCTTACCTCAGTTTTGTCTTAGCTTAGCTTACCTTCATCTTAACTTCGCCGAGCTTTATTATTCCCGACCTAGGCTCTGCCTAGAAGGGCTCTTACTCTCTGTCATAAAGGGGCCGGGCAGTGTTGCCCGCCCTGGGCGGCCCCCCCAGCCCCCGCCCTGCG